ATGCAAAAAATGTGCAGCTTAAATTGGAAAAAATGAATGAAATGTCTAAAAATGCAAAAGCAGCTCATGATTCATTTATTTTATTGATCCCTAAAGATGAACAAGACACTCATTCTGAATGGTTTGAAGCAAAAGCTAAATGTAATGCTGATTTTGTTGAAGATGTGAAACAGTGGCATCTTGAAACTAGAAGACCTTTTGTGGGAAAAGAATGTGCCTACTGCTGTTACTTCAAATGTTTCTTCTGCGATTGTTTCATCATATGAGATGGTTTCTTCCACAAATTATCATCATAACATGTCAAAATCTCCAAAACAGTTTAAAGCAGCATCTGACGTACAGGATGAAATACAACCAGGTGACAGTGTTTCAAATATAGGAAGCAAAAGAAGTAAAGGAAGTTCCTCAAACTCCAGAGTGTCAAGTCCAACATCAGCACAGATAATGGCTGAAGCTGAAGCAGCTGCTCTGATTGTAAGTCAAAAACTGCTTAAAGAGGAACATGCCTTGGAGGAACATGAGGCACAGTTAAGAAGACGAAAAGAGCATCTGGAGCTGAAAACAAATATTGTGGCCACTGTTGCAAAAATGCAAGTTTTGGGAGGCTCTAAACTCTAAAGGATCCATCATGAAAGGAGAAATATCTGACGGTATGGAGTCGTATTTTGATAAGATGTAGTGAGTCACGTGTGGTACGTGTCACTTGTTGTATGACAAATATATGGATATATATTTATGCATACTTTTCACGAGTTCTTCATCTTTCTGACTGTGTAATGCCGTGCATTGAATTTAAAGGAATGCGAACAAGAGACGTTATTACCTTTGACCCATCAAATGAATGGAATCATTTATTTTCAGAATCAAAGTTTAACATCAAACATTTACATTAATTTGGCAAAATATGAAAATAATAACAGACAGTTTCACAAATAATGAACTTCAAATCACTCGGCGGTGATTTGAGGACTTTGCTTCAGATATTTCTAAAAATATCTGCACTGATTTATGAGAGAGAGGTGAGTTTAAGAGTAAATTGAGATTTATCTTACAGAGGAAATATGTGAGGGAAATTTAATCTGTTTAACCAGAAATTGCACGCTCCGTCCGATCTCAGCTTCTCACGGTACACTTGGTCAAAATAGAACCATCTACCTGTTGATGATGAATCAGCGTCGGAGTAGTTCCTTTCTGACTCGTTTCAGCGTCTCCGTCGAGAACTACCAAACCTTCAGAGAGTCGTGCGTAGTTAGCTCAAAACAGAATTATAATCCCAAAAACCTCTGGATTCTTCATTGCTCTCTTGGACTCTTCATTGCTCTGAAACTTTCAGAACCGGCTGCACTCTCAATCTAACATGAACTGGGAAGTTGCCACATTTTATTTGGGTCGACTTCCTGTTCAATTTAGAGCTTTCTGATTCGTGGAAGGACCAGAAAGAGGAGTGGTTTTGACGTAAGGTGTTTATCAACAGTCGAGGTCAGAGAATGAAATTTGTTTTCACATACAGAAAAGATTATTGCAGAAGCAGCAGACTTCGTGGAGTCATTTACTCTGATATCTTCTCAAATAGTTAAACATGACATTTCTTCTTCGGTAAACATTTTAGTTGACCGAAAACCAACCTTTCACATACTTACGACTTGACTCATTTCAGACAGGAAATCAAGAAATGCATATTCAGGTGATTTCTTCTTTGAATGAGGAATAAAAATCATTACTTACTGTTTATGTAAAATAAAAATGAGTAGTTCTTTTCAACCTGTAAAGCATTGAGTGAACTAACACAATTTGATTATCAAAACATTTGTAAGACAGTAATGATTATAAAGAATTGTCTTTTCTGCTTGATTAATTCAAGAAAGAAAGTCATCAGATGGCCCAGACTTATTCAGATCAATGAAAATAACAGTCTCTGTCCATCTGGTAGATTTGAGGTCAGATAAGGGTCAGACCAGGTTCACTACAAAGAGAAGTGTTGGAGCTGATGATCTTCTACATGTCATGCAACCTGTGCACATCCTTCAAAAGCAAGATGATGCAGATTCACAACCTCTCATAACTGCAGGTTGAGTTTCTCCTGACCGGTAGGTCCCCCTCCCCCACCCCCCCCCCACCCGGGTCATTCCCAAATCAGTTGTGATAATTACAAGTCACCTATTTAACTCATTTTACAGATAATACAGTTCAATCCATGTTCAAACATTATCAGATTTTGTATGCGAGTATGGTCTTGTTGTTGATGACTTTGTGTATAAAAAGAAATTTAAACTGTTTTTCAAGTGTGTTTATTATATTGCAGTTAATGTGCTTCCATAGTTAAAATATAATCAGAGGGATTTGATAAAGTACTTGTTTGTCCACCCATCTAGCATCACTACTGCCCCAGCTCCAAGTATGAGTGACAGAAGTTAAAATGTACCGTCAGGATTATGCAGATTTGTGAGGAACTGGGAGCAACACAGGCGAGGCCCACGGCACTTTGTTTGAAGGATTCTGGCGCAGACTCTGTTAAATAAACTGTATATTTGACTCCGCCTACTATAACTGTCGTTATGTGTTCATCTAACGAGCAGCACCCTCCCAGTGTTCAGTTAGTCGTGTGACTCATGTCCACTTCCTCTTTATCAAGAAACTGCTGTACATCCCAAGTTAATCTGCCAGGAGGGTCCTTCAAGATTATCTGCAGGATAATCAGGCAGATTTGTGAGAAAAATTAAAAATAAATGAGTGAAGTGTTGCATTCATTCTGCACCCACTTCCACACAGATAACATTTATTCCTCTTCCTTCTCTTGACCTTTTATTTACTTCTCTGTGCAGCTCTGATGAATAAAAAAAGACACACAGTTCTCACATAGTGTTGTGTTAAGGTGCATGGCAGGAAGAAAAACCTGATAGGACAAACAGCACTGAGATGGTTTGAGCGTTTTAAATGCTGGAAAAGCTGCAACATCAAAACACCACCGACCTCACTTCTTCTACATCTCTATGAAAAATAGGTCTTTTGTTTTGTTGGTCTGTAAGGGTGTATTTGATATAGGAATGTTTTTAGCTTTTTGTAAGAAATTAAAATGCTCCCTAAATGCTGACTGGTTGTTTTTGTTAGACATAAATAAGGAACTAAAATTAAAGGCCTCGCAGTCTTTGAAAGAATGCCCACCTTTTATGTCGAGGTCCTGCTTACAAAACACATTTTTTAGTTTGTTTGAAGTGTGAAACTCTCAGCAGGTGTAAAGTCGCACATGCTCACTCCAGGTGGCTGCAGTCAAAGGTTTTTCTGCGCTAACATCAGTTACAATAAATTAATTCATTCAACCTTTATTTAAACAGGTTAGTCCCATTGAGCCAGGAGGACATTTACAAGAGAGACTTGAGTGTTTTTTGTGCTACTCACTGTTTTACATCATGTCGAAGCAAACCAAAAACATCCTTGGTCCAAATGAACGTTCATGCATTCACAGATTTGGATGTAACTGTGATCCAGCACCATTACACACAGCATGTGGCTGTGTCCGGGTTGCCAGATAAGCATGAATATGTTCTTCTACACCCCGCATTTTATGTGCACATGTTCACCAAACACAACACACACCTCATCTTACATTTTCACTCAGCACAGAGGACAGTTTGGGTCAAAATACAATCATTTTAAAGCAACAGTACAATCTGGCAACCCCTCCTGGCTTTGAAAGTACAGTGTTTCCACATTAACAGGCTCTTGATTTGTTTATTCTTCCCAATAAAAGTGAAAAAAACAAAAACAAATTAAAGTTTCCAGAGATCACCCAAAATCACTTTAAGTGAGGAAATGACAAAGTTGTAGCAGTTTTGGTCAAACCTGGTAAATGATGATATCTTGTGTGATCTCTTAGCACTTGGAGTATGTGTTGGAAATGACTGTCAGCTACTACCACATCGAGGTTTAGTTCAATATCTGCAATGCAGCCTTTTGACTTGTGTTTCTGCTTTTTTAAATTCTTATAATTAAACATTTTAACAACAAAACATGGATCTATGCAGGCCCCAGATTAAAGCAAGGATGTGTATCTCTGTTTATCTTTATCTTGTTTTCCCTCATACACAGTTCTCTCTCCGAGTCCCAGAGACTGTGTGTGCTGCAAAGCATGCTGGGTAGCCTTGTGGAAATTATATGAGCAATCTTTCTGACTGTTTATGTTTCTGCGTATGGAAATGGGTTTTTCTTGTTAATGTCCCGATCATGTTTGCTTTGACGTTTATGCTGAGGTTTCTGTTTGTGGCTGTAAACTGACACCAGGAGCCAGAGGTTGTTCCCAGTACGTATACTGGTAAGTGGGAAGGCCCAAATGTGTAACAGTGGTTGCAGTAAGTCTTACAGAAGGAAAAAAAAAAAGTATTTTGTTTTAAATTAATGAACAAATTGACAGGCTGGACTTAAATCACCTGTGGGTCCCCAGTAAGATAGCCCTGCTTATGTAACTGAAAATGCCAAGTTCCTGTTAAACAAACAGAGTTAAACGTGAAGGCAGCACAGTGTGGATCTGTTTTCAGCTGCTGCTGAAACAACAAGCTGCACAGGATGAGGAAATGAAATGAGGCAAGCGAGTGAGCTCAGCCCTTTATTGCCTTGCAAATATCCTGGTGTTGAAAACACACAGCCCTTTGGCCGGACCTATCAGTAGAGCACTGGCCTGGATCCACGCTGACAGCTGATGGTACGTACAACACAGAACTAACAGCTGAACTGAACAGATCTTTTTCTTTCTTTAGAGAACTAATCCGGGGTCTTTGTGTGGGTGATGGTGAGACTCTTTAGTTCAGACTGAGCAGCAGCCTTTTTTTTTTCTTTTGAAAAGCAGGAAATGAAAAAACAGCTCGACTATGATTAGTGTTTAAAGTTCTTTGCTCCATTGAAGCCAGTAAGACTTTGATTGAGGCAACTTGTAGTTAATGAGTAACTTTTCAGAGGTGCAACCTTTAGCAAGCGTTCGTTCAACTCTGTCTGTGTGATTCACACAGTAGCAAAAACCATTGGACTTGTATATCAGTCTGTTCTGTGGCCTACTATAAAAAGATTGGTTTGATTTCCTGTTGAGTTTGCTGCTATGGTAAGTGCTGATCTTTCTTTTACTGATGTTTGACTTAGATTAGATTTTATTTCAGTTCTTTTTGATATTACTTAATGCCTTGCTATTGACGTGTAGCTTTGATTCCATCATGTGATTTCAAAACAGACCCACAGTCCTAGTAAATGGGCCCAAATTTGTTGGTTGTCTTTCCAGGAAAGTCAAATAAAGACATGAGAATTGGTATGGAAGTTGGCTGTGACACTTCGAACCATTTTGAACTGTTTTGTGGATGCGTCAATGTTTTAATTATTCCAGCTTTGGGTACAAATGAATACAGCAAATTTAGGAGGCCTTCACAACCATATCCTGCAGGATTATTAAAGTTCTTATCTTCAACAGTATTTTTCTGAAATGAGTTCAAAATTGAAAATATCTGTTGTGCCAAAACGCAACCTTTTCAAAAATGATGATGTCATAGTCATCACTCTAACCTATGACCCCAGTCATAACAGACATACCAGTAATGACAGATGACAAGCTTGTATGTTCGTGATGGCGCTATCGACACGGGCTTCTAAACAGCAATACAACATGTACATGCAACATAGCAAAAACACAACAACCTTATGATTCATAATTAATAATCCAAGGCCAAAACCGTTTGGATCACTTTGTTGAACTGTCAGCCATAAAACAAAACTTAGTTTACATTATTAGTGTTTAGTGTATATCTTAGACCTTTTAGAGTATCATTTAGCATATATCAGTGTATATCAATGATGGGATCAGCAGCATATAATCAGCAGCACAGATAAGTCACATATCACCAATTAAAATGACGTTACAGTGATCTTTTTTTCTCCTTATTGATTATCCTGGTTAGGGATTCATGAGTCTTAACAATCTCAGGGTAGAAGCTGTTCCTCAGTCTAGTGGTTCTTCACGTAATGCTCCTCAACCTCCTGCCTGAGGGGGGCGGAGCAAAAAGTGTGTGTGCTGGGTGAGTGGGGTCCTTCATGATGCAGGTGGCCCTCTTCCTGCATCTAGAGGTGTAGATGTCTGTGATGGTGGGGAGACTGACTCCAACAGACTTCTGTGCAGCCTTCACCACTCTCTGCAAAGCTTTTCTTTCTGCAGCTGTGCAGCCTCCATGCCACACGTTGATGCTGGAGCACAGGATGCTCTCCACTGCACACCTGTAGAAGGAGGTGAGGACTGAGCTTCCCAGTCCAGCTCATCCCAGCCGTCTGAGGAAGTAGAGTCTCTGATGAGCTTTCTTGATCAGGATGGTGGTGTTGTTGCCCCAGATGAGGTTGTCATTCAGTTGCACACCCAAGTACTTGTAGCTGGAGACCACTTCCACTGCAGATCCTCCTATGTTTGCGGTGGGGGGTCGGTGTGTTTGTTCCTTCTGAAGTCCACGACCATCTCCTTCATCTTATTCACATTGATGTGAAGGTTGTTCTTCCTGCACCAGCTCTCCAGGTGTTCACCGCCTGCCTGTAGCTGGACTCATCGTTGTTGTTTATTTTGTCCCTTCCATTTATCATCTAGTTTTATTTGAGGGTAGCTGTGGCTTGAGCTGGAAAAAGGTAGGGTGCCTTCCCTGGGTTGGGGAGGAGGTCCTGCCCCAAGTGGAGGAGTTTAAGTATCATGGGGTCTTGTTCACGAATGAGGGAAAAATGGAGCCAGAGATCGATAGGCGGATAAGTGCAGCATCTGCAGTGAAGCGGGTGCTGTACCAGTCTGTTGTGGTGAAGAGAGAGCTGAGTCAAAAGGTGAAGCTCTCGATTTATTGGTCGATCTACGTTCCTACCCTCATCTCTGGTCACGAGCTTTGGGTTGTGACCAAAAGAATGAGATCACAAATACAAGTGACCAAAATGAGTTTTGTCCACAGGGTGTCTGGGCTCTCCCGGGAGAGACTCAGAGTAGAGCCGCTGCTTCTCCATGTTGAGAGGAGCCAGTTGAGGTGGTTCGGGCATCTGGTTAGGATGCCTCCTGGACGCCTCCCTAGTGAGGTGTTCTGGACACGTCCCACCGAGAGGAGACCCAGAGGAAGACCCAGGACACGCTGGAGGGACTATGTTTCCCGGCTGGCCTGGGAACACCTTGGGATTCCCCTGGAGGAGCTGGCTCAAGTGGCTGGGGAGAGGGAAGTCTGGGCCTCCCTACTTAGGCTGCTACCCCCCATGACCCGACCCTGGATAAGTGGAAGAAAATGGATGGATGGATGGATGGATGGATGGATGGATGGCAGCTGTGGCTGAATGGCTAAGAGCAGTTACCCTCCAATGGAAGAGTTGTGGGTTCATTTCCACCAGCAGTCACATGTTGAAGTGTCCCAGGGCCAGACACTGAACCCTCATTGCCTCTGATGTGTCTCAGCGGTGTGTGAATGTGATCTAAAAGCATGTGGGTTGGATTTGTAAATAGCGGTCGATAAGAGGTGATAATTCAGTTGAACAGTCAAAAACTCACGGCCACACTGGTACTGAGAATTTCACAGTGCTTGTTACACACTCTTCATCAATCTTACAAGGCCTGGTTGAACGGCTGCTCTCTCTTCATACAAGAAGCAAACAGAGTTCATACAACCTGTAACGTTACCTTTGAGTTAGAGCATTCAACTATAAAGTCCATCTCACAGTCCACATGTCCATCGTCAAGCATGCTCCTCCCGTAACACTCTACTGAAGGTAGTGGTGCATGCCTGTGACATCACTTACCTTAACTTGAGCAGTCTTAAAGAGAGACTACACAATTACGACTGTTACACACTTGTTAGTCTCTATCGGAGTACTTTGTATTAGTTCAGTTACCGGTAGCTTTTGTAGAGATGTAGTAGAATGTTGTATGAATGTGTGTGGAGGTACATGAGGGCACAGACTGTGTTGTAAGGCGCTTTGAGTGTCTTGATTAGATAGAACAGCACTTTATAAGTACAGTCCATTTACCATTTATTTCCCCTTGTGGTTTATTTTTATGTCCCTTGTGTTTTGATTCAGCCATGTTTCATGTGTCAGTTCTCGTTTTCACTCTCAGCCCATTCAACTTACCACCTGCCATTTTCCACTTACCCTTATTCTACATAAACTATGTCTGGTCACCACTGTAACAGCGCTTCACTGTCTTGACTACCTGTCAGATGTCTCGTTCCTCCCATTTGTGCTCCCCTGTGCTTTGTAAGTAGTGGCTGCAACGCTAACCCTTTTTCATATTTTAATAAAACAAGTTTTATTTTACCCAAGCTCATCAAGTCTGCATGCCTCTGGGTTCAATCCGTTCATGGACCGTCATGTCTGGTTCTGATGGAGTCATGTTGTACAATCTTTAAGTGTATTACATCAAACTACAGCTTCTTAGTGGAGCACATCAGAGAACAGTATTATTTCACTATGATTATTAGTTTATTCAAAATAGATTTTTTTTTACTTCTGATTACAGTAATCCTTGGTGAATATATTGAATAGACTGGGTTGGGGTAAATAAATAAATAATAAAAACTGTTCCTACAATAATTTGCCAATTAAAATTCCAACATTTAATATTTTTTCAGTGTTTAACTGTGGAATGCAGACTGCATTAAGACAAAAGCAGAATCTTGTATTTGGTTAATGCTGTTGTATTTGCCGTCTTATTCTTGTTTTTATAGTTTTATGGATCCACTCAACATCCTGTTTTCTGTTTCTAGTGTATTTTGGGAGCATAGTTGTTTTGTCACATCCATGACTGGCATCAGTGGTGTAGTCTACATTTTTGTAGTGGGTATACTGTGCTTAGTAAACAAAGTAGTAGAAACAATGCCAATCAATTTATGTAGATTTTTAAGCATATTGAACATTTCCAAATTCCCTGATGCTTATATTTGAATAAATGTACAACAAACTTTGTAAACTGTTGAGTTGGATTTGTATTAAAAACATGTAGATTTTATAAAACGGTATCAAAAACATGTTCGAGTATTACCGGTAAGTATTAAGTACAGAATTATGCAATAATTTGCTGAATAAGAGAATGTAATAAACAAGCTCTGCATATAGACAGATTGTTACAGAAGCATTTAACAGCTGTTTAACGTATCAATAACACGTGCCCAATGATATGTCAAGTATCAATGGGCACTTTTAAATGAGTATACTGAAATTCTTAAGCTTTTCTAGTGGATATACTCCGTAAATCCGTGTATCACGTAGACTGCACCACTGCCTGTTGGGTTTTTAGTGTTTTCATGTCAAAGACATTTCTAGAAATGGTGCTGTGCTTATGAGGATACTTTCAGAAAGAACAAATATAAAGATTGTTTTAGGGGAAACATGTTCCCATGTGGTCAAAGCCTTGAAATCTGACATCAACAAAACTGACAAAACCTCTCCTGTTTCCCAAAGGCTGACCCGAACCCTCAGCCAACCACCTCGGGCTCCTCTGGTAAGTTTGACCAGGTCCAGAGTCAGGTGAACGAGGTCAAAGTTATCCTGAAAGACAACATCAACAAAGTGTTGGAGAGGGGGGACAGATTAGATGATCTTATTGGGAAGACGGATGAACTGCAGGACTCTGTGAGTACTGAACAATACTTTGATCTACTCTTTTAATCCAATGCATTACTGTTACTGAATATTTATTTTGATATTAGTATTTATAGAAAAAATGGACTTCAAGCTTACAGCAGCTTTTATTCATTTGATGGATTAGAAATGAAATATTTAGAACTTGTTTTATCAGATCATATCAGATTTTCATCGTGAACAAATTGCAAGTTAGGCTGTTTATGGTATTACCCTGAAAAGACTCACCTGCTAAAACTTTACATAAGTCCTTTCAAGCAAAAAGGTTGACCCTGTTGACTAAAGCTTTCACTAATACCATCTGTTAAATTCTCTGTAAACTGCTGGAAGATGTCACATTACCCTTCATTTAGCAAGTTCACTGAGTGAACGTAAGAATCTGTCTTGATGAAAGTGAACAAGGTTTTTAGTAAGAAAAATGTAAATATGAAGTGTGGAAGGGTAGGGAGGAAAAATGAAAAGACTGCAAACAATGAGAGGATTCTAACCCTTGGAAGTCCCTTTAAATTTCTGATGGTTCGTGTTCCTCATGGGGAAAACACACCACCTTATTTAACTGCTAAAAACTTTATTTTTTCCAACAAAAATTTAGTCTATTTTAGAGCTTTCTCAACTTTAAAAACGTCAAATTTACACGACTTTTTAAATAAACACTGAGTTTTTTTTTTAATCAAAGTCTTTTTATTGTTTTTGTTTTTTTTAATATCAAAAATATAACCAAAAAGACACATACAACAAACTAGAAAGTCTCGTCCCACCCCTCTGGATCAGCTGTACAGGCACTGACACATATGACACAAATGACTGCCACGTGTCCCAAAATTACCCGACAGGTCCCCTCACAGTGTATCTAATCTTTTTCCAATGAATATCATACATAACTTCTCTTATCCAGTGTTCACATGCCAGAGGACGCAGATCTTTCCATCTGCATAAAACATGTCTCCTCCTGGCTAGAAGAGAGCCTAAAGCATCATATTCTTCTCACATTTGCTGAAAGATGCATCCACATGGGACCACCCCAAACAATGAAATGAATGGTGACGGGTTTTTCCACAAATCCCAGAGAAAATATCAAAAATAGATTGCCATTAGCCCTGCACCTTTGTACAAGTTCAGAATATGTGTAAGAGCATAGCTGGAGTTTGTTTACAGCAGTAACATGTAGGATCCAGGTCAGTTTGAATCTTAGTTTGTCTTTGGACCAAATCATACGTTGCACCACCTTAAATTGAATTACAGCATGTTTCAGACAAATTGAGGATGAATAAATGTTCTGGATGATCTTTCACCAAACTGAGTCTGATATGGATTCCTCCAAGTCCATTTCCCATTTCATTTTAAGGGAGTCCAAACTGGTCTCATGGTATGAACTGAGCAGTGTATAGATCTTGCTCAGGGCCCCTCAGTATCAGAGCTCGCACTCCAAAATCTTAACCACAAAATGTTTAGAGGGGTACAAATGAAAACGATTAAGAAAATAAAACACAAAATGCCTTCATTGCAGATATCTGAAAAACTGTGACTTGTAGATATTAAAATTCTGTACCAGCTGCACAAGAGGCAAATTTATGATCAACTTAGATATATTGAATGTACTCCATTTAAGTCCCAGGCATCAAAGGCTTTAATGAGGGAGTAAATGTGATTATTTGACACTGATGCCACAAACAGTAACTGTGAGTTAAATGCTGTCCTGAACTTCCACATCTTGACTGTCCAGATCACAATGGGGTTGGTATTAGTTGAAATTGGCTGTTTAAAAAGCAACTGAGAGCAAAGTAATGCAGAGAACTGGATTTAATTGAGGCCCTCTCCAAAGCCACCCGATTGGGAGCAAGAGAATCCTTTCTTGACCAAAATAATAGAGCTCGGATAATATATTAGTTGCCCAGTGCATGAAATTAGGAAGTGACATGCTCCAAGACTGCTCCTCCTTGAATCGCCACCTTATTGTGGAGGAGTTTGTGCGCCTGAATGACCCTAGGAGCTATGCTGTTGCGGGCAATTGTAATTGCCCCTGGTTGGATCTCCCAAGGCAGATTGTGCCTATAGGTGACAAGTCAGACAAAGAGCGAGTCAAAAGACTTTTATGGACAGTAAAAAACAAGAAGCTCATTGTCCCTTGCCTGGACGTGGGTTACTGGGGCCCCACCCTGGAGCCAGGCCTGTGGCTCGTCGGCAAGCGCCTGGTCTCTACCAGTGGGGCCAAGTCAGGCTCAGCCCGAACGAGTAGCATGGGTTGGCCTTCCTGTGGGCCCACCACCTGCAGGAGGGGCCATAGTCAGGTGCATGACTCCATGGGCAGTGGCTGAAGGGGCCTTGGCACTCTGACCCTGGCTTACCAAAGTTGGCTCTTGGTACATGGAACGTGACCTCTCTGGTGGGGAAGGAGCCTGAGCATGAAGTTGAGAGGTACCGAGATACAGCTGGGCTCACCTCGACGCACGGCACGGGCCCTGGAACCAATGTCCTTGAGAGAGACTGGGCTTTATTCCACTCTGGAGTTGTCCATGGTGAGAGGCGCAGAGCTGGTGCGGATCTACTTTCAATATTATAAAAGTACAATTACATTGTACTTTATCACTGCATTATTCAATTCAATTCAAATATACTTTATTAATCCCAAAGGGAAATTATTTTGTTGTTGTAACTCGTTATCCTCATTTCATTAAGAGATGTTATAGACACTGATGGCTGTAAACAGGAAGGATCTCTTGTAAAGGTCCATCCCACAGTGGATCCTAAGAAACTGGCTGCAGATGCCGTCCAATCCGTCCACCCAGACTCGGCTGGCCTCTTGGTTCCCCTGGACTGTAGGACCACCTGAATCCTGAGCTGAACTCCTCCCAAAGCGATGGCCACTCCTCCCAGCAGTCTGCCGAGCCGAGCTGTGGACAGCCAACTGTAGGTGCAGAGGGACGATCCTGTCCTTCCTCTGTCATGAGCCATGTTTCCTGCTAGTTCCAGGATCTCAGTGGTCAGACACTCGAGCACAGCTGGCAGGTAGATGAGAATGCGTCCACATAACATCCTTTTCAACTCATTTGAGAGTTTGGACCATAGATGAGATATTATTTGAGCTTTTGAGATGTTAATCAGCTGCTGCTGTTGTAGAAAACTGCCTTGTTGCCATGGTTACGCATCATAACAAATGTCCAAAGCCAAAAAAGTCTCAGTAAAAATCCTTCCAGCTGCACAGCATCTGATACCAGAGGAAACAATCATCCAAAAAATATGATTTACATCCAGAAAACCAGGAATTAAAGTTTCCAAAATCAAAATCTCAGAATGAAAGCAACAGAGCTGCTCCAACATGCAGCCACCTTGAGCGGCGCAATTCTAGAAAAAAAAAAAAAAAAAAAGGTTATAAGCATCTACAACTATATCCTAATAAAAAGGTTTACAAATGCTTATTGTGCTTACAAGGTGGTAACTTAGTCTGAAATGTTTAATGTAATTCTAGATGAAAGATATAGATGGCAGATTTGGCAATAAACTGGTCAGTTTTTTGTCTCTGTCACTCTTTATAAATCATTAATAATTGTTTATTATGCATTGTTTATAACTGGAGTTCAAAAGAGGGAGCACATCACCCCCACTGGCTGCCTGTTCATTTTAAATTATTTTGTTAAAAGTTTAAATGGTCTTGCTCCATCCTACCTCTCTGAGCTGCTTCACCCATACTCTCCTGCTCGGTGCCTCAGATCAGCTGATCAGCTGCTCCTGGAGGTGCCGAGGTCCAAACGGAGGCTCAGAGGGGACAGAGCTTTTTCTGTTGCTGCTCCAAGACTGTGGAACGATGATCTCCCTCTTCCCATCAGACGAGCCCCTTCACTGTCCAGTTTTAAAACTGTTAAAAACACATTTTTACTCCCTGGCTTTTAGCACACACTGAATTTTGCTCTGCACTGTTTTCATTATTTTTTTTAATTGATCTTAATGTTTTAACAACTGTTTTTATGTGTTGAAATGTTCTTGATTTTATATGTACAGCACTTTGTGGCAGCTGTGGTTGTTTTAAAGGGCTTTATAAATATTATTATTATAGATGAATTAATGTATCTATAAACTGTTTATTAGCATCTACAGGTGCTGGTCATAAAATTAGAATATTAAGACCAACTGCATGGTCATTGCAGTAATCCAGGCAAAAAGAGCCCCAACTAGGTACTGAGATTTTCTGATACTGAACTTGGGGTTTTCATTAGTTGTCAGTTATAATCATCAACACTAAAATAAATTAACATTTGAAATATATCAGTCTGTGTGTAATGAATGAATATAATGTACAAGTTTCACTTTCTGAATGGAATTACTGAAATAAATCAACTTTTTCATGATATTCTAATTTTATGACCAGCACGTGTAAAGTGGTACCAATAAGAATAAGTGTATTATTCTTAAATTGCACATAAAATCCCAATTTTCCAACAAACGCCCATTTGTTTTATAGAGTACACATCTAAAAACCTAAGGGTTCAAAGCTTTTTACAACTTGAAATACTCTTTGGCTCAATAAAAAAATGGAGCTGCCAAACAATATTTAAAATGTCTAAAGTGAACACATCCAGGGCCTTTTGAATTTCAGCATGTAGCTGTTTTTATTGATGCTTCATAATCATTTGACTGATGTGCTTTCTGATCTTAGGCCAACTCCTTTCAAAGAACATCTACACGAGTTGCCCGAAAATACTGGTGGAAGAATGTTAAAATGATGATCATCATCGGTGTGGTGGTGCTGATTGTTCTGATCCTCATCATCCTCGCTGCCACGGGTGTTATATAAAACTCATGAAGTGATGATTTATATTTTGAGAGCAGAGTGTGCACAATGTTTAAAGGGTAAATGATTATCGAGAGGTCTTTCTGTGACGTGATGCAAAGATAACATTTAGGAAGCAGAATTTAGGTTTGCTGACATGCAACACTCCAAATGTTTGTAAAACCACTTTTAATGAAACACAAATCCACAAATGTTTTATTTTATTCTATACTTTTTCACTGTCCAGTACACCATGTACATATAATGTATGTTTATGACTGTAGTAAAACATGTGACTGATGAGCACAATAAAAGGCTCAACTGCCACAGCACTGAACACACGAGTGATTTGTTTAATCAATACAAGTCAGCTGGGGAATAAATGAAGCAATTCACAAGCAGTATTTGAGATAAATACAAAAAAACAAGCTGGAAATGCTAATCTAAACAATACAAAACACCAAAATACTTGGGTGAATACACAGAAAATGTACTGTCGGTGTTTTTTGCATTCTTAAAACTATCTGTGATCTTTGCTGATCATGTCTTTGCCCAAAGCTCCACCAGCGAACAGCAAATCTGATCACTCTGAAACCTACGGAGAACAAACAAACACAAGTCAGCTATAGGAGAACAACAACCTGACGAGATACAAAAACACAAATCCCCAGGGTTTTAACTTTCAATGTAACGGAGGCAGGAAAAACCAAGTGACAGCAATTATTTTAACAGCTTACATTTTAATAAAAAAACGTAAGAGCGTTAAACTAGGGATCCTGAAGTGTGAAAAATTGAAGAAGCCAAAAGTACTAAATGGAAAAATAAAACTTTCATATTGATCAAAAATACACATTTATAAGAACATGCGAATTTCTTGACGTCTGGAGAGATTTTTTATTTAATCAATGATTTTAAGAAGAAAAATGTGTTAGGGAAATTTAACAAAAGAGGAGTCTTTTCCATTGCTGTCAGTAAAAATACAAAAACAGAAGAATACAATTACACAAATTAAAGCACTTCATCCCCCAGCACAGTAGAGTCCAATACGAACCAGGTTTAAGCTCATGGGCTACTAGCTAAACAAAGAAACAAGCATTTTAAATAAGATTAGGAATGAATACATTAACATTAGAAACTGGAAACTCCAGAGAAAGCTGTATGTACCCTATAAAAAGCAAATTGTTATTTTTTCATATTTATAATCATTACTTGTGGGGGAGTAAGGGCCTGTAAAAAAAAACGACAATTACATGTGTATATTTTAATTTATTACATAACAGTTGCAAAGAACTTAAAAAATGTAAAAAGATGACAAAGCTGCATGTGTCCCATACTGTTTAGTCTAGAAATGCTGATACAGGATGTTGTAAGACCATACCAAATGGAAGCATTCGAGAGCGTACGCTTCTCGTACCCGGTCCGCATTGAGCGGGCCCTGAGAGTATCGGAGTCAGCTCATGGCCTGCAAGGAAGCTCCGCTGGCAGGTACAAACAAGGTATGTCAGAGTTAGGACACAACACACTTCCTTTTCTGTTTTCTCTGCACATCCTTAACTTTGGCATCCATTTACTGTAGTAGCAGAACATTACCTGTTAACTTTACACTTAAAAAAAAAGACAAAAGAAAGTGCCAAAAAACAAAAAAAAAAAGTAGCAGAGGGCCAGCTGTTAAATATAATTGCCACAAGGGCAAAACATTTATGCTACTATTACTGTAAAGCACATGAGGGTGCTGAGAAAAAGAAGTTTACATGAAGAAATTAAACAAGAAAATTACAAAACACCAACGTTGGCATAACTACTAAAAGTTTAGAGTGAGCGGTATAGTTTGTTAGTACCTACCTACTTCAAGTTGAGGGTCAACTTCTTTAATATGGCTTGTAGCTGTTGGTGTGACCACCACGCCTTGGCGATTTGCTATAGCCCCCAGATTCATCAGCTAGAGTGGCAGAAAATGACATTTTGGTTTGACAAGTAAAACAGTGTATAAATCAGCTTATCAGATACTTACCGCTGTAGTCTGTATATCCGTAATAATTGTTGTAACCAGAGTAATCATAGTCGCCATAGCCCTCATATCCTTGATTACCGTAACCATAACTGTCGTAATTCCCATAGCCTTGATTCCAGTAGTTACCATAACCCTGGTTCCAGTCCTGGTTTGGACCTGTTTAAACAAAAAACTTTGCAAATTATGTCACACACATCTTTGAATGCCTTTCAAAAACTTACCAACAAAAACTTTGTCATCATGTTGTATTCTAAGCAGTCAAATTAAATTTCTAGACTCTAGACTGCAGGTTGGAAATATTGGAAAAAAAAAAAAGTTCTCTAAAAATCTACAGTTGGTGTATTGCTCCATCCATCTATATTTTCATTTATCTGTGGTCAGGTAGTAGAAGCAACAGGTTAGACATCCCTTCCCAGCCTCTCCCCTGATGTTCCCAGACCAGTAAGAGATCTCCAAAATGACACCAAGATTTTTAACATTAGAGCTGGAGGCCAGATTGCTGCATTTATCCCCAACATGCTCGGGTCCAAAACTAAAACCTCAGTTTAGCAGAAAAGGTAGGGTCACCCAGGGTTTTAGAGTTGAACCCTAAATTTTACTGTAATTTAATTTATATTACTTTAAATGTATTAAAAATACGAGAGAAACGTTTGATGGGTAATCGCATATCAAAATAACAGAAACTAAATGTCTTAAAGACAGTCCATTAAAAAAAAGTTAAAAAAAAAAAAAAAAGGTTTGTAATCTCATTCATCCAGTTAGATAAAAAAAAAGTTAAATCGTGTCATCTGGACCAGTTTTTTTTTTTAAGTGTTTCATCCTCCATCCAGAGGACTTCCTCAGTCTATGGCCTGCCAACCAGATCTGTCACATAGGTAGCCTTCACTGCTGTGTTTCAAGACACCCTCCTTCCTGTTGGAATCTCAGAATTAGACTTTTAACATGTGCAAACAGAGCACACCCATCTAAAACAATCAAACATCATGTACAACAATCAAATGTTTTGTCAATTTACTTTCATTAAATTTAAAAAAGTCTTCTAATTGTACAACTAAACAACAGAATTGAAGCACATGAAGGCAGCGGCAATGGAGATACTGGAGCAGGTGTGAGTGGTGGGGGTGAGTGTCGAGCTAACCAGGCTGTCGTACTCGGGCAGGAGCTCACAGGCAGCCGCCATGAACAGCCGGAGGAGGAGCCAGGGGGTTTATGTAAACGTAGATGTTTAACCCATTAAAATACACCAGAATGCAGGAAATGGCTCCTACTTTATTCAAAAATTTCTGGGGGAGGAACCACCCCCTTGCTATTTGTGTTCCTCCATTGCTGATTTACAAATTAAGCATTGATAAACTAACTCTTTTAGTTTGAACTGTATACTAATTTTTATGATGAATGGCGATATACAATATATATATATCAATATTTTTTTCTTTCTGAAAAGAGATCCAGGAAGTGGTTACAAGAAGAAGTTTAGTAATATTGTGTATGCTGTTCAGTGTCAGGAGGGCTGTGATCAGTCTTACATCGGGGAAACTAAACAGCCACTGGCCAAAAGGATGGCCCAGCACAGAAGATCAACATCATCAGGCCAGGACTCTGCGGTCTACACTCATCTCCAGGCCAGCGGTCACTCTTTCAGGGTTGAAGATGTTCACATGGGCGGCTGTGGCTGAGTGGTTAGAGCAGTCGTCCTCCAATGCATGAGTTGGGGGTTCGAATCCACCAGCAGTCACATGCCGAAGTGTCCGTGAGCAAGACACTGAACCCCTCATTGCCTCCGATGTGTGTCCCATTAGTGTATGAATGTGATCTAAAGCTCTGATTAGTCTCTTTAGAATGATTTGTTCAATTAGCTTTGTATAGATCTAGTATAGAGCTGTATGAATGGGTAAATGAGGCACAGATTGTTGTAAAGAGCTTCGAGTATCCTTAAATAAGATAGAAAGGCACTATATAAGTACAGTCCATTTACCATTTACATCCTTGATAGAGAGGAACAGTGGTTTGAGAGGAGTAAAGGAGGCCATCTTTGTGTAAAGAAATCGTCCATCGTTAAACAGGGGTGGAGGCCTCCGTGTTCAACTGTCCCCCTCTTACAATGCTGTGATTGCTAGTATCACTCAACCCCCTGTGAATAGTAAACAGCCATCAGTGTGCTAATGATCCATTGTTAGGCTGATGGTCCTTCTTGATCATGTGAGCAGCTGGTTTTGGTTGTCAGCAGCAAACTGGTTGATCCACTCTGAGAAGGTGCTATTTATAAGACTGAGCTGAATACAGCACCTCAGACTGAGGAAGTCTTTCGGATGAGAGACGAAACATTTCTACTTTTTTTTTTTTGAATGTCCAGAGGACCAGATTTAACTTTAGATTTTTCTACCTGGATTATTGAGCATGCATCAGGATATCAAATGTGTTCTTGACTCACCACCTCTTCCTCTAGACCTGGACGAGTTTCCACCTCTGCCTCCCCAGTTCTGCTGCTGCTCGTATTTCTCCTTTGACACAGCCATCTTTACCTCACACTGAAACACGCAATAGGATCATTTTTTTATTTTTTTCATTAAGTCTCAACAATAATGTGACTTGGAAAAAAAAAAGACTGCACCTTGCTGAGTCCGATATTGTGATACTTTTTCTTTATGGTTCTCTTAACTGACGCATTATCTTTGAATGTGATGAAGCAGAAGCCCCTCCTTTTGTTAGTTTTGTTCTCCATGGGAAATTCAATAGACTCCACCTGATTGCATCAAAACAATAAGATCCCTATGAACTATAGTACAACTGCAAGGTCAGTTTGTAAAGCAGAAGGCAACACACCTCTCCGAAGGTATCAAAATGCTCTCTGACTTCCTCTTCAGGAGTGTCTGGAGACAGACCACCAACAAATATCTTCTTCACAGGCTCATCACTCTTCATGGCCTTTGCCATTTTGGGGTCAATTGCTTTCCCGTTGAGCTTGTGCTCCTTCTGAGAGGCAACCTTTATAAAAAAAAAAATGGAAAAAGAGAAAATAAGTTGAGTGACTTAAACTTCTTTTAAAACTAAACTATTGGGTTTGAAGTCCAAAATCAAAATATTTTTAATTTTCTCACAAAGGGTCTTAAGAGCCTTTGATCATGTAAAAACTCATGTGATTCTGACCAAATCTTTTAAGTCTGTTTGTGTGTGATGGTTTTAATACTTTTAGTGGCAGAGCTGAGAAAAGAGTAAGGCTAAAACAAATATTTGTCACCAAAATTAAAAAAATAACACAAAAAGGTCTCTAAACAAAGTGACTGTAAACAAACAAAACCAATGTTCCCAGTCTCTGAGGGACTGAATGGTGAATGTTTGTAGTTTTGGAGATGCACATTTTTCTGGACTGGAACAGAACTGAGAATGCAAGGTGCAAGATACTCAAGTGGGTAGGTTACACTGTGGAGAAGAACAGAGGGAGTTTGTTTGTTTGACCAAAGCTCCTGATCGTGGTGGTGGAGTTTGTGCACCTGAAGTATCCTAGGAGCTGTCGGGGGCAATTGTAATTGCCCCTTGTAGGGTCGCCCAAGGCAGATTGGTCCTAGGTGACAAGCCAGACAACAAGTGATTCAACACACTTTTATGGACAAAAACAAGCAGGGAGCCGAGTCCCTGCCTGGACGTGGGTTACCAGGGCACCGTCCTGGAGACAGGCCTGGTTGAGGGGCTCGTCAGTGAGTGCCTGGTGACCGGGTCTCTACCCATGTAGAGCCCAATTGAGCAACATTGGTTTGCCTTCCTGTGGGCCCACCACCTGTATGAAGGGCCATACAAGTCTGGTGCATGATGCCATGGGCAGTGGACAAAGGCGGGGGCCATGGCGCTCTGACTCTGGCTTACCAAAGCTGGCTCTTGGGACATGGAATGTGACCTTTCTGGCAGCAAAAGAGCCTAAGCTTGTACTTGAGTTTGAAAGGTACCAACTATATATATTTGGACTCACATTGATGCACAGCATGGGCTCTGGAACTGATCTACTTAAGAGGGGCTGGACATTATTCCACTCTGGAGTTGACCATGGTGAGAGGCACCGAGCTGACGTGGGTCTACTCTTAGCTTCCTGAGAGACTCAGAGCAGAACCGCTGCTCCTTCAAATAGAGAGGAGCCAATTGAAGTGGTTCAGACATCTGGTAAGCATGCTTCCTGGGGGCCACCCTTAGGAGGTGCTTTGGGCATGACGACTGGGAGAACACCCTGGACAGGCTGGAGAGACTATAAGGTTGTTTTCACACCTGATAGTCCGGTAGACTCGGTTCGGTTGGGGAGACCAATATTCATAACATTTTGTTTACATTTGAGCTGGTGCAGTTTGCGTTCACACTGCACTGTGCAGTCAAGCCAACCTGTTCCCCCACTCACCTGTGGTGGCGCTGCACCAAGAACTACTGAAAGAAACAACACAAAAACCTCTGAAGAAGACACTTCTTCTTCTGGAAATAAAAACAAAAATGGAGTGGCGTCAATTTTTAGCGGTTTTAGGAGTTATATTTTGTCATTTTTCAACCATGGACTCAGCATGAGTGGAAGATGAGGCAGAAGACCACGGACAATGTTGTTTTTCACAGAAGGCAAGCTGACGGCTCCATATGAGGTAAGAGAAATGCGTGTTTGTTTGCCCTGTGCTGTACTCCACTTCCTGCTTGCGGAGCGGTGTCCCGTCTCCTTGCATTCACACTGTACTCGAACCGCGCTGGAGTTTTCTTCTACCGGACCGAGACCTAGGTTTTTAGGTGGGTCAGAGTTCGCCTTTTTGTTCCGTGACAGAGTTCGATGGCTCGTTCACACCTTCCCAAACAAACCGGACTTCCTAGGCAAACGAACTAGAGTTCGGGACAACAGGGCTGGTGTGAATGCACCCTATGTCTCTCGGATGGTCTGGGAATTCAAGAGTCCTCCCCAAAAAGCTGGAACAGGTAGCAATGGAAAGAAATGTCTGGACCTCCTTGCTCAAGCTGCTGCCCCCACAACCCGACTTCGGAACAAGAGGAAGACAGATAATTAATTAATTAATTAACATGGACAGACAAAGCAGCCCAGAGTGATGGCTTTGGTAGAGTCAAGGGAGCAATTTTATCCACCACCATGTGCAATGGTGGCACCAGGGGGTGGCCAATGGCAGCCTTGGTTATGGTAAATTAATCTTTAGCCACCCCAATCATTTTAGGAAACCATACATTTAAGCAAAAGAAAAACTAAAAAGCACAGTTTCCTGAAATGATTGGGTGGTCAGTTCTGTTCCTCTCTCTCTCTCACTCACTCACAGCACCGGACATCTTGGATTTTTAACGTGGCAACCCATTTTTTTTTACAGAAACTTTCTTTATCCTAGATGCAGCCACACACCAAACAAGAAGTCAGTATCTTACTTATTTTTCCAAGTTTTCACGCTCAAAACAAAAAAAAAATTTTATACTGAGCAACATTCCCATCAGTTCCATGTCTCTAGAGCTGGGTACCTTTCTAAAAAAAAAAAATCGGTATTGGTACCAGTGTCGGTACCTTCACTTCAGTGTCGGTTCCTGGACGGTTCTTCTTTCTGTACCAATTTTGTAATTACTATTAATTCTAACAAGAATAAAATTACATTACAGTACAAATCTTGAGTTTTATTTATTAACTTTGTTATTTTTCCATTCCAAGCAGTTTTTTTTTTACATAAAAACAAATAATTTCCAGGTCAAAAAACAGTTTCAAACAACAAGTGACACGTCAGTGTCTAATGCTCACTGCTACACACTGAGGACCTTTTCACTTCACAGTTTTTCGTCAAAAAAAACAAAATGTCTGTTTTCTCTGGACACAAACAAGCCCACTCCTGGCTATTGGTGTATCCAGCAGTAGGAAGTGTTCACTCTGAGGGTGAGGATGATGATTGCACACACAGATACCTGGTTGTCAGTTTGATAGCACTGACATATTGTCCCTCACATTCCACCAGCAGGTCACTGGATTCACTGAGGTTAGGGTTGATGCAGACTTCTGCACCTCTGTGTCTCTTCCTGAATCTTCTCTGTGGTTCTCTGGGGTTTAGAGCTCTGATCATCTCCCTAATTTACATGAGAACAAAACATCAACAATAACATGGTTGTGTTATTATTACTCAAAAACCATTATCTAGGCTGAGAAATAAAGGTTTAACTGTCAACAACATCCTTTACAATTTACTTACCTCTACTGTAGTTAAAAGCAGCAAACTTTAACAACAAAGTTTGTGACTGTCCTGTGGCCCCCACCTCACTTTTCTTTTGTATGTCTCCTCACATCAGGATCAGAGGCTCCTGTGAGGAGAACATTAACATACAAACCGGATTCAAAAAAAGTTGGGACACTAAAATTGTGAATAAAAACTGAATGCAATGATGTGGAGGTGCCAACATCTAATATTTTATTCAGAATAGAACACAAATCACAGATCAAAAGTTTAAACAGAGAATGTATCATTTTAAGGGAAAAATCTGTTGTTTCCAAATTTCATGGCGTCAACAAATCCCAAAATAGTTGGGACAAGTCCATTTTTACCACTGTGTGGCATCCCCCCTTCTTCTTACAACACTCAACAGACGTCTGTGGACAGAGGAGACCAGTTTCTCAAGTTTAGAAATAGGAATGCTCTCCCATTCATGTCTAATACAGGCCTCTAACTGTTCAATCGTCTTGGGCCTTCTTTGTCGCACCTTCCTCTTTATGATGCGCCAAATGTTCTCTATAGGTGAAAGATCTGGACTGCAGGCTGGCCATTTGAGTACATGGATCCTTCTACGTAGCCATGATGTTGTGATTGCTGCAGAATGTGGTCTGGCGTTATCGTGTTGAAAAATGCAGGGTCTTCCCTGAAAGAGATGACGTCTAGATGGGAGCATATGTTGTTCTAGAACCTGATCATAGTTCTCTGCATTAACGGTGCCTTTCCAGACATGCAAGCTGCCCATGCCACAAGCGCTCATGCAACCCCATACCATCAGTGATGCAGGCTTCTGAACGGAGCATTGATAACAACTTGGGCTATCCTTGTCCTCTCTGGTCCGGATGACATGGCGTCCCAGTGTTCCATAAAGAACTTCAAATGGTGACTCATCTGACCACAGAACAGTCTTCCATTTTGCCACACTCCATTTTAAATGATCCCTGGCCCAGTGCAAACGTCTGAGCTTGTGGAGCTTGCTTAGAAATGGCTTCCTCTTTGCACTGTAGAGTTTCAGCTGGCAACGACGGATGGCACGGTGGATTGTGTTCACTGACTATGCTTTCTGGAAGTATTCCTGAGTCCATTCTGTTATTTCCTTGACAGTGGCATTCCTGTTTGAGGTGCAGTGACGTTTAAGGGCCCGGAGATCACGAGCATCCAGTAGAGTTTTACGGCCTTGACCGTTACGCACAGCGATTGTTCCAGATTTTCTGAATCTTTTGATGATGTTATGCACGGTTGATGATGATAACTTAAAAGTATTTGCTAGTTTACGCTGGGTAACACCATTCTGGTATTGCTGCACTATCTTTCTGCGCAACAATGGTGGAATTGGTGATCCTCTTACCATCTTGGCTTCTGAGAGACACTGACACTCTGAGAAGCTCTTTTTATACCCAGTCATGTTGTCAATTGACCTAATTAGTGTTAATTGGTCTTCCAGCTGTTCGTTATATGCACAATTTCCTTTTTCTAGCCACTTATTGCTACTTGTCCCAACTTTTTTGGGATTTGTTGACACTGTGAAATTTTGAATCAACATATTTTTCCTTTAAAATGTTGCATTTACTCAGATTAAACTTTTGATCTGTCATCTATGTTATATTACGAACAAAATATTGACATTTGCCATCTCCACATCATTGCATTCAGTTTTTATTCACAATTTGTTTAGTGTCCCAACTTTTATGGAATCTGGTTTATATATATATATATATATATATATTATATATATATATATATATATATATATATGCACACACAGATTGCCTCAGAAGCATTTGTAATGTGGTGGTGGTGGGAAACACTTCTGTGGGGATCTGAGGGTCATTCCCCAGAAAATTTTGAATAAATGGGTTTGCCCAGTTCAACTCCTGACTGTCAACTTGAAAATGTTGGTGGAAAAGGTGAAGCACCCAGACCTGCCTCCATCCTCATTTGCCCCACTCTGAGCCCATGAGAATAACCCTTAACCCCCAGCTGCTCCCCAGGCTCCTTAGATGGCGACCCACTGCTTCACATCTGTGCTCACATGTGCAATGGGACAAATGCAGATAATTAATTTCCCCATTGGGGATTAATGAAATACCGTATTAAAAATAATCATAAAAGTAGATGCAATTTCCTGCATTCTGTTGTATTTTAGTAGGTTGTTAAACATCTATGTTTACCTAAATATGTAAACACTTGAGGCAATAATTATTTTAGAGACAGATTCCTCGTTCAGCTAGTCCATCGTCTTAGTTTTAAACGCATTCCTTTGGCTAAGTTAAATTCATGTAACACAATTTATCACAAATGACTTTAGGGGTTCACTTCACTTTCATTTATCTTATTCTTGATTTAGTTTTATTTGTAACATTGTGCTAAGCACAAGTGCTGACACTGAACTGTATGTTTAAAAATAAGAATATTAACTTTACCCAATGACCAGGTGACATTTTGATAACCACCAACAACAAATTTAGAGGGGCATTTGACATTTTTCTGATTTAGTGATGGGCCTCCCGTGCTATTCTGAACAACTTGCAACAAGAACCGGAGCTGTCCACCTTAATTTCTTTATGGGATTTTAAACATTTCATAATTTTAATAGAAAAATCAAAGCAAATATAATAGTTTTCAGTAATTTACTTCGTTTTAAAGCACCCTGATTTATTGTTTTACAACACTACTTTTATTTTAACTGCAATTTTAATGTAGTTTATTGTTATTGTTTACTGTCATGGTCTGTACTTTGTATGAAAGTTGTTTTTATCCCGTCCAGTAGGTGGCGGTAACACAACTTTAATTTGGTTTCGTTTCGTTAAGGAGGAGGCGAAGAAGAAAATATCACAGCGCCATCTACTGGGCTGGAGTATGAACTGAGCGGAACATGTAACTGGTCGTTGCTTTGTGTGTTAGCTAGGAGCGGCGCTGCTGTCTGTCATGTAATTACACGAACAAACAATTAGAAAACCACATTTCCAGCTTCTTGTTAATTTACGTTTTGTGTGATCCGTGTAGCCCGGAGGAGCAGGGAGGTACCGGGACGCTCTCTAGCTGAACATTCCGCCTTCACTACCCGGTTAAGCTAACGACAGCTAACCTCAGACTCTTGTAGCAGAAATGGCCACGGTTTCTTTTCCTGCCTGCACAACTGTAGTTTTATTAGATATCGAGGGAACCACCACACCGATTACTTTTGTTAAGGTGAGTTTATTTGTTTTTACTTTGGAAAATATTGGTTGGAGTAGATGACTGTTTCGCTGTCTCGCTGTCTTGTGTTATCAAAACCGATAGTTTTAATAAGTCTGTGTTTCATGATAAAATATAGGCAGCATTATATTTTCCTTCAGATTCTTCTAGATAAAAGTCAAATCTGTGTTTTTTCATTTTTCAGGACGTCTTGTTTCCTTACATCAGAGAGCATCTTGAGGATCATCTGTCCACTCATTGGGAAGAAGATGAGTGCAAACAAGATGTTCATTTGCTAAAGAAACAGGTTGGAGAAGATCAGGTTTTGAGTACCACATGTCATGACTCCACAGGGAGGAGCAGTCAGAACATGTGTTTTCAATGACCGCACATCATTTTAGCACAAAATATCTGTCACATTGACTGGTTTAGAGCCATTTTTTGTTTTCTAAGGTCTGGGACTGACTGGGAGAGCCACCTTAAATTAATTTGGCTCTCAAAATTAATGAATTGTAGATGTATTTCTAATGATAACCTCCTGAAAGGTTCATTAAAATCCTTTAGTGGTTAATGGGATATTGTTTACACAACAAACATGCACCGACCTAAACAAAAACAATATTGTCTTTACAAAAAATTAACTGTATTTCTCGACTTCCATAAATGTTTTCATGCCGGTGTCAGTCATATTGATCCCACTGACTGTCGCTACAGATTGAAGAGGACATAAAGCAGAACCGGGCTTGTCCCGTCCACACTGTTGACCAGACGGTTCACACAGATGAGGAGAAGGCCATCAGGGAGGTGGTGGAGGATGTCCTGTGGCAGATGGCAGCAGACAGAAAGTCCACAGCCCTCAAACAGCTCCAGGGCCACATGTGGAGGGCAGCTTATACCTCTGGGAGAATCAAAGGCGAGTAAGTACGCTGATCTTTTTGCTCTCATTCAAGAGTCACATGCATAAACGGGTCGTGCTTTAACATTCTTTTTAATTTAAACCTTTATTTTACCAGGAAAGAAATTCATTGAGATTATTAATCACTTTTACAAAGATGTCCTGGGTATACATTCAACGTGACTGGACAGGTTTGCTGCCAGAAGCACAGTTGCCATCCATCAAGGATTTGTTTGGTTGATAAAAACATTTTCCTATAGAAGAGTAATTGCTCATGTCACAGTTTTCTAAAAGAGGGAAATAAAAGTTGGTTTAAAGTGGAAATGGCCCATTTCATTTGTATTAGTTGTCTGAAGTCTACTCAGTTTTGACCAGTTCTCATGATGTAGGAGTCTGAATGAATTCTCATCCAACCTTAGGACCTGTTCTGTTCGTTTCTCCTTCCTGTCTTCTCAAACCCCAGCTGTTCCAAGCAGATGGCCTCTTGTCCTGAGCCTGGTTCTGCTGGAGGTTTCTTCCTGTTAAAATGGAGTTTTTCCTTTCCACTGTTGCCACTGTGCTTGCTCAGGATGGGAGACTGCGACCAAGTGAAGAGTCAACACAATCTGCTGCTTCCTTAGATAATTTTTACTAATTGACTGTTTTATGTACGTGAATGTTTCTGTTCAGTGCCCCGACACAACTTCTGCTGTGACTTGGTGCTTTATAAACTGACCAAAGAGCTTCTGATGTTGGGTTGTTGTGGGCAGTTCTTCTTTGGGAGGGTCTTCAACGAGTAGGGGACTAAAAGGGATTCAGATTTCCTTCATGATGGGAACAACAAGGTCCGTCGGTCCAGAGCCAGGCCTCGGGGTTGCATGCTGATAGGGAGGCACTGATACTAGTATTGGGTATTGGCCCGTTACTGTGCTTGTGTACTTGTACTCATAAAAATGTACTGATATCAGGTATTCTCCTCTCAGGTGGTAGAGGAGGAGCAAAGACGGTCTTTTGGAGGTAGTTTTTGGGGGTTTATTTTTTGATGAATCTTGATTTACGAGTCGTGGCAGTAATGCAACATAACAATGTTTGTTCACCTGAAGAAGCTGCTACGAGGAGGAAGAGTCGTAGTGAAAGACTACGCTAAAGAGAGCCCTGGAACTGTACAGATGTTAGTCCGTTACACAACAATCTCTCTCAGTCCTTGCTAGAAAGTCACGAGAGCAGTGTCATAGTTACTGATGCAGGAAAGCTGAACCCGCGAGCGTCCTAGCAGCCAGGCCAGGCGCTGCCATCTGCCTACACCTTCTGAGGAGACGGGTCATTACAGGTCATAGATGAGCCTGAAAGCTGCTTAATGAGTAGTAGCTGTTGAGATGGTCTCTGAAGAAGCTGCTAAGGTAAAGCTTCAGAACAGTAACTGCTTCTCCACTCGTGCTGCAGCGAGTTGTTTGTGTCCGAGAGAGAGTGACAGTTCATCAACACCGTTTTTCTAACAAGGTTTAAATTTCACTTTGCTTATTGCCCAGTACATCCTTGTAAAAGAGATTAATAATCTCAATGGATTTCTTTCCTGGTAAAACAAAGGTTTAAACTGTTAATGTAATAACGTGCTGAAAACGACCGTGTTAATGATTGTTAAACTTCTGGTCTTTGTTAATGAAAAAATGTGTTGAAACAGATTAAATTTATAGGTATAAGTTTTACTTATTGTAAGAAATGTAATGGCTTTTATTAGTACTGGTACTGGGACTCTTGTGATAAGTAAACAGAAGCACTTGTACTCTGTTGGGGGGTGGGGGGTGGCATGGGTATCAGTGCAACAAGCTGCTCAGTTTAGTAATTATGTCATCAGATCTGTGGTCCCGTGTCTTTGCCGCTGTCTCAACTCTCATCGGCTCCGCACAACACAGCACCAGTTAAGGGTCTGCCCACTGCTGGTACCCACCCCCACTCAGCCTGGTTTATGGGACCATCTTGTTTGAGGTTCCAAGCGAACCTCTTCGTGGTGACGACTTTAACGTTGCAGACAGCAGCCGCTGACTGGCCAGTGGAGCTACTTCACTGGATGACCAACAAGACTGTAAACTCTCCACTTCCTCCTCGTGTTGACGGACGGCACCACAAGAACCGAGTGCATTTACAGAGATATCAGAGATAATGGAGCAGCAGGCTACACCTGGACATATATGCAGTACCAGGATAAGATTATAGAGCGATTAAGGACCACAACGGGCAGAGTGGCTCGACCACAGTGACCTGTTAGGATACTGCCCACTTTGCATTGATGATCCCGTCCACGGAACGGGGAAACAAGTCGGCACCTGCCCCTGAGAAGACCTGATGAGACGAGAGCCGAGTCACACTTCTCAACGGCAAAGCAGCTTTTCACAGTTAAACTGGGACTGTGAGCTCAGTCTAGTCATTGGTGGAGCAGCTGGTATTCGTTATGCAGAATGTCTTCACACCTTCTAGAGCAATGTTTGGAACAACCCTCCACCACCGGGATATGTTGCCCTTCCATCAGATCAAGGATGGGGAATAAAGGACCCAGCATACTCCACCCGCAGACAAACAGTTACTTTGTCATAGGATGTTCATTTTCACACACACACACCTTTCCTAGTGCACGAGACCCCTCCCGCTGCATTGTATATCACCACGTGGGTTTCTTCCTGCCAGAGCCTCCACTCCGTCCTTGCAGCCGCCATTCACCCACAAATCTATCACGAAGAGAGCACCGCACTTTCAGCAGACAGACTCCTCCATGCACGATGTGTGCACCATCTCCATCCTGGACTTTTTGACCATTAGACTAATTTAGTGTGTTTGAAAAGTCGTACAGCTGAACGTCCGAGTGCATTTCTACATTGACGAACACGCCCACAAACTTCTGACCAGTCACACAAACTTCTGACCAGTCACACAAACTTCTGACCAGTCACACAATACTTTTGGCCTGGGCCTTGTGTCAAAAAATGAAGCTGCTTTGAGACTAAAATGATGCGATTTGTCACACAGTTACGTCAACCATCCCTGGGGTGGACTAATGTCCCACCTGTCCCCAAAAGATGATCTATCGTGTCTGAAACCTAAAGAGGTCTGTCGGGTCACCTTCCTGACAGATGGAACCAGAAGCAACGTTTCTTTTAACAAAAATTATTCAGTCTTTTATTTTCTGCTTCTGCGACTAAAAAAAAGAAGTCCCAGAGTTTTAAAGAGGAAACTAATTAAACGATTTCCAAAGGACTTATTTAGTTCTAAAATGATATATGTTGTAAAAATATTACTCGTTTTCAAACAGGCTCTATCCTGATGTGGTTCCATCGATCAAAACGTGGCGCGAGCACGATCTGAAAGTTTACATTTACTCATCTGGAAGTGTGGAGGCTCAGAAACTACTGTTTGGATTTTCTGTCGACGGAAACGTTTTAGATGTAAGTCCGCTCTCATTTCAGTCACAATCACATCGTTTTTACTGTCTGCATTTACAAAATGACTGGTTCTCTCTGGAGATGATTAGGAAAAACATCTTTTTTTTTGTCAAGTATTTTATCATGTATTTCTTGCATTGTTCCAGTTATTTGATGGTCACTTCGACACAACAATAGGTGCTAAAGTTGATGCTAAAAGCTATGAGAGGATTATCGACAGAATTGGCTGCCAACCTGAAGAGGTCACCTTCCTGACAGATGTAACCAGAGGTAAACGATGTTTGTCACTACATACGCTGACAGCTGGCACAGATGTTAGCATTTGGTTAGAATGTATATATCGTATTTTCCGGATTATACGTCGCTCCGGAGTAGAGGTCCCATCAGTCAAAAAAGGCCTTATGAAGAGGAAAAACCAATATACAAGTCACTTAGGAGTATAAGTCACATTTATTTAGAAGTGTATTTCACAAAGTGCAAGAACAGACATTTAATCTGAAATAACAATAACACGCAGAACCAAGGGCAGACTGTCCATCGGGAGCACTGGGACATTTCCCGGTGGCCTGGCCCGCTCAGTGATCGCCGAGGGACTGGACTAAAGGCTCGGTTCGGCTCGCACTTTATTTTAAATAAACAGGTCGCTCTCACTGAAGCTGCACTGTGTCGATGGGGAAAGACAGACAGAGACATCTCAGCCGCACGCTGTCTGTACCGACAGTTTATTTTTTTTTGAGAGGGGGTGGGGACAGAGACACATCTGAGATGTGTGCTGTTTGTACGACCGTTTTCGAGTGGGGGGGGGTGTCAGTGTGAAGGTTTAGCATGAGAGAAGAGGCTGTCTTTAGCTTTTTAGCTAGTGTACCTGCATTGCCAGCTGCTAGTTTAGTGTTACGTCACGTCAGTGCCGACGTGGTTTGGGTGGGGGTGTGGGGGGTTCTGTTGATGGGGCGGGGTGCCCCGCTTGTATAATAGTAGGGGAAACACTGATGTAAGTCACTTCACGTCGCAGGACTGGCCAAAGCATGGAAAAAAAAACGTGACTTATAGTCCAGAAAATATGGTGCGTGTGTGTGTCCTTGTTTATGCTACTTTGTGAGGCCCATTTTTCCAACTTATACTACATTGTGAGGACCAACTGCCCCTTATGGGGCCCAAAGCCCGGGCCCCATAAGAAGAAGTCCTGTTGGTGGGTTAGGGGCTAGGTTTAGGACTAAGGTGTGAATTGAGGATGTGTTAGGTTTAGGGTTAGGTATGTACTGGTAATGGTTAGGTTATGGATAAAGGTCATGGTTAGGCTATAGAAATGAATGAAAAATGAATGGAAGTCAATGCAAAGGCCCCACAAAGATAGCAAAACAAACCTGTGTGTGTGTGTGTGTGTGTGTGTGTGCGTACACACATACACAATGCGGTGGCCACCTTGGATTTGTATGTGGCAACTCAATTTTTGAAAGAAAACTTATGTAAGTCTTTACTTATTGTTCAAGTTTCATGCTCACAACATGTTTGGATGGACAGACGGACTGGATTTCCAGTTGGCCTCCACCCTCCGTGACGAGGGACAGTAATGCATGTGACCTGCCATCAAAAGTTTTGGAGCTTTACTCTCTGGTGCTTTTGTGTTTGCAGAGGCTAAAGCTGCAGAAGAGGCAGGCATGAACGTGCTGCTGGTGGTCAGGCCAGGAAACTTGGAGCTGACAGATGAGGAGAGCAGCCACTACAACCTCATTACCTCCTTTAGCCACCTTCAGCTGACAGGATGTACCTAACACAGACTGTGGGCAGAGGTCACGTCTGACTTTATGGTCTTTTAATTACATTTTTACAACTTTGTTTTCATTCTGTGTACTGGGTCTATTGTGGATTACTGTAGGGCTATTTATGCCCAAAAGTTCACCTTTCACGATGCTTTCGTTTGTACAAAGCACTCCTAGTGCTGAAAGATGAAAGAAAGATCCCTGGACCATAGATGAGAGGAGCAGGTGCAACGTGAACAAGCCTGAAGGAAATGGCACACCAACATTTAGGTTACTGTACTTCTAGATGAACTGTGTATTTGACTGCTGCGCTCCAGCTCTAAATGTGTGTAAATGTATTTGTCAATGTTCTGTAAAGTCAGACCTGCTAGTTTTCTCCATGTTGTGTTTTAGAAAGCAGCGCCTCAGTTTAGAAGCTCTCGGCAGCGGTGGCCCTGTCGTGAATCTCCTCGCAGATGAATGGTGTGTGTTAAAATGTGCCATCAATCTGTCATGTGGATGTTAAACAAGTATAAACGTTACCTAACGGGAAATCAAATGTGTGAAGCGTAGCTGTTTTAATTCACAAACTTTTAATAAATGCTACTCGCACATGGCTGTTTCTCTCAGTCCAGATGTTTAAACTGAAAATAAAATCACATTCTGGTGCTGCTGTTAAACACGGGCCCAGTTTCATTGTTGGAAGAATTCAAACACTTTGGTTTGGGTCTTCACATTCATAATTTAAATATATCTGTCCCCACAGATTCAAAGCATTTAGACTTTTCACCTTTCTGGATCTATTACTTCAAAATAAAGCTTGACTCGTCTTTGTATTTCCAAGAGAGATCCAACAGCTAACGGTCATTTCTCTGATAAAATATCTACTATACTGATTACTGAGGACAAAATGTGAACTTACTGTTGTAACCCCGGCTCTCTGAGTGATGTGTCTCACTGGAACACCTCGACGTGGCCTCAGCAGTAGCTCATGACCTTACACCAGCAAGGACTGGCTGGAGGAGCCAGCAGGTCTGAAGGAGGGCAGGGCTCCTCCTCCCCCCATGACATTCAATATTTTAATACATTTTGCAGGTCACAGGCAGAAGATCTTGCCTTAAAATGTCAAACATCAAATACAGGTGCATCTCAGAAAATTGACTGGATGAGTGACGTGGCTTGTTTAAAATAAATTATTTTGCACCTGTGTGCAGCCCACAGGTGCAGGGAGAACCTGCAGCATGTCATGATCTCCACTCTGCCACGCCCACTTCTTTGCTGTAATCACATCACCTGTCACTCCCAATCTCCCTCTTGCGTAAATGAACAATTTAAAGTTCAATACAGTAATAGTTTAAATAAACGATCCAAGCTGCATGAGCAGCTTTATTTTAAATAATCCAGCTCGACTGGAACTGAGGATTTAGTCCCCCTCAGCGAAAGGCCAGGCCACCGGGAAATATCCTCATGCTCCCAATGGCCAGTCAGCCCCGCTGCAGCAGGTGCTAAATCATTACAAATAATTTATTTAAACGCTGTGCTTTTGTGTGCTGCGCTGCAGATCATCTGATCTCATGCCTGAAGTAATCCCAACGTTTTGTTCCTGCTCTGTTCTGACCCACTTCATCCCCTCCTTTACCTCCAAGACGGATTCTTCTGCTCATCGGATATCTGGACCTCGACGTCTACTCTGCTTTCAGACCACTGATTCCAGCTAAAACCCTCGGATAAGTTTGGCTGGTCCTGCCTCTGATGGACCCACGCCTGTATCTCTGACCATGAACTCAGACCCTGGACTTGAGGAGTTCGGCTCTCAGAACCTCCACATTCTGAGCGTGTTGGACTTTCGCTCACGTCACGTGATCCGTCCAAAACCTTCTGTCCCTCTGACGTCTTCGCAGCTTCGCCTTTTCACCTGTGATGAGCTCTTTGAGTGACAGCTGGCTTTCTCCTCCGTTTTATCACGAGGACAAAGTCAGCTGCTCGGCTGCAGCCTATGGTGGTGGTGGCCATCTTGGATTCAGACGTGACAACCCAATTTTCTAAAGGAATCCTTTGTCTAGATGCAACACACACATGGAAGTTGTTACCTCACTTATGTTTCAAGTTATGCTCATAACATGCACGGACGGATGGAGGGCATTTCCAATTCTTCGTCTTTGCTCCACGACGTGGGACTATCACAAGATCTTGAAAATTAGGTGAGATTTTCCTTCACAGATACAATAAAACACCATTTTTTTTTAAATAAATATTTATTGAAAATATTGCCTATAGTTAGTCTAAAGCAGAAGTTGAGTTTGACCACTCAGACTACAGCCCTCATTGGTTGAAATTAAAAAATCAGGTCTGAGGTCTGAGCAATCATCACATAATTACCTCCAGCTCTTTAAAGATGGCTGAACATGCGTGGTAAAATGACATAAATGCTTGTTTTCATAAAAGTTCATTGCACGTTTGAGATGATTACATTGCTAAAAAAATAAAAACAAAAGACATAAATCCAAATCGTACAGAGAGAGACTGCACTGCTGCAGACTGACAACACGTTGGTCCCATGTGCTGAGCAGAATGACCCAAAGCCCTTCCTAAAATAACCCGCACCGACAAGTTCTGCTGATATGAATGAGCCTGCAGGAGTTAAAACTGTTCAACAGTGGTTTTATCTACAGGTTTGATGCTTTTAAACGAGCTACTGAAGCACATTGATGATAAAAAAAAATCATGTATTTATAGACGACAAGGCATCAAAACAGATTCTACTACAGATGTGCAAGGACTTTGCATGACCGCGTGAAAGCAGCTGCAGAGCTGCAGTCCGAGCTCAAAGAGAACGGGTCACACAACAGCAAGAAAACAAGAAGTGTCTATACTCTGAGGTATAATTTATATATGTACCAAAAAGTGTGGGAGTAAGAGGAGTTTCAAAAGATTTGAACATTTCTAAAGGTTAGTGGGCGACATCATCAGTCATTAAAACAGAAATAAAATCATACAACTTAAACATGACTGTGTTAAAAAAAGAAAAATATCAAAACAGCAGTTCAGTCGGTGGTTAAACTCTGAGTGATGGTTCTGCTGTGAAGTCTGACTTACAGCTTCACCCACGTCCCATTGAGCTCCACTATTTCTTTTCTCTCTCTTTATTTTTTACACGAATCCAAAAAAAGGTTAAAAATTAAAACAACTGGACTTCTGCTCTGAAGACTCTTGTCTGTCCATCCAGGAGGCTTTATCAATTTTTTTTAATTGATAAAGCCTCCTGGATGGACAGAGAAATGTTTTTGCTTCAGAATACCAGTTCAGTTGTTTTATTTTTCAACTTTTTAAATATTTATTTATGGGGTGCACCGATTGCAGTTTTCTGGCCGATCACCGATCTCTAAAAAGTCTGACCTGCCGATACAGATTTAGTTTTATAAGTGACACTGTCAGGTGTTATAAGGTCACAATGCACCTTCAATTTTCCAATATTGTATTATTGAAAACATACCCTTGAACAATATTATAGAAACAATATAAACTTGTTTTAACTGGCCATGAGGTAGTGCTCTGAAATATAAATGAAGTTCAGACAATTGTTAAAACTAACAAAAAAAAATCTGTTTCTCATGCAAGTATCATCCGATTTCCCAAAATTAAGGAAATCAGGGCCGATTTATCGGTGCACCCCTATTAATTTACTATGACCTGGATGAGTGAGAAACTCCACCAGTGTTTTGTCTATGCTGGTGAAGATGGGTTACCCCCACTCAAGTCACAACCCACCACTGTCGGTCGAGAGGCATGATTGGTGCACGTGTGTCAGAAGACATCCATTATGCACCGACCGAATGAATTAAAATTTAGTTATTGAATAAATTTATCTCCTGAAAGCAGAATGTTTGGAGTGTGTGGACAGGAATTAGGAATGGGCAGGGACTTTCAAATATTCAGCAGCTAAAACGTGCACCTGGTGCCACCTTCAACCTGGTGGTGTCACACCTGATGCGCTTTTCCAGGCAGGGGGCTTTTTTGACAAATCACTTCTGAAGGGGCTATACAGTAGTCCCCTCGCTACTTCGCAGTTCGCTTTTCACTGACTCACTATCGCGGTTTTTCAAAATAAAACTGGACATGACACACAGTTGGCTGACAGATGGATGAGCCACATGAGCGGCATGAAATTTTTATTTTAAATTAATTATTTTAAATTATTTAGCACCTCTGTGCAGCCCACAGCTGTGGGAGAAGCTTCTTCATGCAGCTGATCAGCTGATCTCCATGCAGAGCGGAGGAGTGGGCGTGGTCAAGAGCGCTAGCTGGCAGAGAGCAGAGGAGGCAGGGAGCTGAAATCATGACATTCTGTGCTCTTTTAGAGCATTTAGAGTTTAAAAACATTGTTTAGAATATTGCAAGAGTGTG